ATATATCTTAAATTAAAGCTAATGTAATATACTTTATAATGGTAAAAAAAAATTTCGGACTTTATTTTATCTTCATGGTGAAAACAGACATTAAACTTAATAAAAAAAATACGATTTTTGTAAAAAAATTCTTTTTTATATTTTTAACTTTATAATGCTATAACTTCTCGAAAGATGTATGGATCAATATAATTCTTTTTTTTGTAGATGCATGATGTCTTTACCTATCATTTGGTATATTTTTTTTATAAATCTGACTTTTTACCTGCCTACAGGGGGGGATTCAAAATGACAACTTTTTCACAAAAAATTGACTTTTTCAACTTAACTTTTGAAAGTGTTCCGGAAGGTCTGACACTTTTATATATATCTTAAATTAAAGCTAATGTAATATACCTTTTAATGGTAAAAAAAAATTTCGGACTTTTATTTATCTACATGGTGAAAACAGACATTAAACTTAATAAAAAAAATACGATTTTTGTAAAAAAATTCTTTTTTATATTTTTAACTTTATAATGCTATAACTTCTCGAAAGATGTATGGATCAATATAATTCTTTTTTTTGTAGATGCATGATGTCTTTACCTATCATTTGGTATATTTTTTTTATAAATCTGACTTTTTACCTGCCTACAGGGGGGGATTCAAAATGACAACTTTTTCACAAAAAATTGACTTTTTCAACTTAAATTTTGAAAGTGTTCCGGAAAGTCTGACACTTTTCTATATATATTAAATTAAAGCTAATGAAATCTACTTTATTATGTAAAAAAAAATTTCGGACTTTATTTTATCTTCATGGTAAAAGTAGCTACCAAATGCAATAAAAAAAATACGATTTTTGTAAAAAAATTCTTTTTTATATTTTTAACTTTATAATGCTATAACTTCTCGAAAGATGTATGGATCAATATAATTCTTTTTTTTGTAGATGCATGATGTCTTTACCTATCATTTGGTATATTTTTTTTATAAATCTGACTTTTTACCTGCCTACAGGGGGGGATTCAAAATGACAACTTTTTCACAAAAAATTGACTTTTTCAACTTAAATTTTGAAAGTGTTCCGGAAAGTCTGACACTTTTATATATATCTTAAATTAAAGCTAATGTAATATACTTTATCATGGAAAAAAAAAATTTCGGACTTTATTTTATCTTCAAGGTGAAAATGGCTACCAAATGCTATTATTGTGTGAAAATTCTCAATTTTATTTTTTACATTTTTAACATTATAATGCTATAACTTATTGAAAAGTGTATTGATCAATATAATTTTTTTATGGGAAATACTATTTTTTAATAATTCCTTTTTCATTCGACATACTTTAACAATAGCATTTGGTAGCCATATTCACCGTAAAGATAAAATAAAGTCTGAAAATTTTTTTTTGCATAATAAAGTAAATTACATTAGCTTTAATTTAAGATATATATAAAAGTGTCAGACTTTTCGGAACACTTTCAAAATTTAAGTTGAAAAAGTTGTCATCTTAAAATTGTAATTTTTTTGGAGGTTTCCCCCATTTACGGGAAACGAGGGAAAATTATTCAATTTTTGAGGGTAATGTCTTCGACTAGATACGATTTGTGATCTTTTGACGTATCGTTGAAAGAAATCGGTTTGGTGAGAGCTGAGAAAAAGTGGTAACAGACACAAAAAAAAACACATCTTAGTAAAACCAATACCTTCTCAGCTTCGCATCGAAGCTAAAAACGATTTTGAATCATGATATTTAGCGTAATTACTATATTACTCAACATATTTTGAAATAAAATTATACTTAGAATTATTTTATCTGTAACAATGAAACGAACTGTCAAATAAAAAATAAGTTAATTACCATTTGTATAGAAAACTTCATTTTAAACAATTTTTGTATGAAACATTAAGCTTTATCATAAAATGCTCGCCAGACAAGACAAAATATTTGTAAATATCCCAATTTTGGTAATATCAACAAATAATACATTTTTTATAATTTTTATGAAAGATAATGGATTTAGAAGAAAAATTGTAGGAATATATATTATGCTAAACAATTAGATCTACAATTTAGCTTCAATGAT